AAAAAAAAATTATAAAAAGGAAAAAGTAATCCTGAGAAAGAGCAGAGTTCAGCTGTGAACAGTATCTCCACAGGCATAATAATGTAAACTCAGAATATAGACTTCATCAAAGTTAATATAAAATTACTAGTGGCCCGGTGCACGAAATTCATGCACCAGGGCCACTTTCTAAGTAATTTTTTACTTTGGGGGGCGGGAGGGGGTCCTTCAGCCCGGCCTGTGCCCTCTCCCAGTCCAGGAGCCCTCAGGGGATGTCTGACTGATGGCTTAGGCCCACTGCCATATTCCCAACTCCCCTGAGGCAGCAAAGGTTGAGCCTGGAGCACTGAGCTCTCCACAGCAACCTATAAGTCAGCATCTTCAGACAGGCTTCAGTCATCCTCACTACACCCATTCTCATCTCCACATCATCCCCGCTCCCCTCTCCCATCTTAGTAAACCATCCTTTAAAATGTGTAAAGCCCCACTCCTCTGAGACAACTCTCCCCACCCATCCTGACCCTGGTTGGTTCTTTTCTTTCCATATTCCCAACTCCCCTGAGGCAGCAAAGGTTGAGCCTGGAGCACTGAGCTCTCCACAACAACCTATAAGTCAGCATCTTCAGACAGGCTTCAGTCATCCTCATCACACCCATTCTCACCTCCACATCATCCCCACTCCCCTCTCCCATCTTAGTAAACCATCCTTTAAGTGTAAAGCCCCACTCCTCTGAGACAACTCTCCCCACCCATCCTGACCCTGGTTGGTTCTTTTCTTTAACCAACTCTGCTGGTTCTTCATTCATTCATTCATTCATTCATTCATCAAATATTAACTGAGCAGCTACCATATGCCCAAGTACCAGTAAATGAGCTGGAGAGACAATGATGAACAGGCACATCCTCATCACACCCATTCTCACCTCCACATCATCCCCACTCCCCTCTCCCATCTTAGTAAACCATCCTTTAAAACGTGTAAAGCCCCACCCCTCTCAGACAACCCTCCCCACCCATCCTGACCCTGGTTGGTTCTTTTCTTTAACCAACTCTGATAGTTCTTCATTCATTCATTCATTCATCAACAAATATTAACTGAGCAGCTACTATATGCCAGTTCCAGTAAATGAGCTGGAGAGACAATGATGAACAGGCAGATAAGGATGCTGTTTGTAGGTTTTATGGGGTTTATGGGGCCTCAGGAACTTAAGAGTCCATGTAATACATTTTAAACACTTCATTCTATACTCAGTGAATGTCATTCACCTCTCCCCAACTTCACCTCCTCACCCCCTATCTTGTTCCACGAAGGACTGAAGGAGGAAGCCACAGCTGTTAGCTTTACCTCTCCAACAAGCCAGAAAGCTCAGTGTGGATCCCAGCCTTGTGACTTTATAGCCTTGTGACAGCAACATTCCTCATAGGAATCACGACGTGGGCCTACACATTCCTTCACCAAAACCAAATTTCCACTTTATAGGGGGGAAAAAATGCTTCCAAGCTTACATTTTTCTCCATGATTTTTTTGGAGACTTTTTCCATTAAAGTCTGTCAGCACAAGTTTGCCAGAAAGCACCAGGGAGTGCCAAAATGGACACATCCAGAGCAGCGGTTAATTCCCATTTAAACTAAACAAAGACCTGTATGCTCATGGTTGTAATTTTCTCTTGAAATTCAAAATGTGTCAAGGTTTCTAAGTAATTTTTAATTTCACTACTAGAGGCCCGGTGCACAACATTCATGCACTGGGGGTGGGGGTGGGGGTGGTCCCTCAGCCCAGCCTGTGCCCTCTTGCAGTCTGGGACTCCTCGGGGGATGTCTGCCTGCTGGCTTAGGCCCGATCTCCTCGGGGACTAGGCCTAAGCCAGCAGTTAGACATCCCTCTCACAGTCTGGGGCTCTCGCAGTCCAGGACCCCTCACTCCTTACCACCCGCCTGCAGTGGAGGCGGGATAGGCTCCTGCCACTGCACCTGCGCTCGCCAGCCGTGAGCTGGCTGAGCAGCGCTCCCCTGTGGGAGTGCACTGACCACCAGGGGGCAGCTCCTGCATTGAGCGCCTGCCCCCTGGTGGTCAGGGCGCATGATAGCAACCGATCATTCTGCCATTTGGTTGATTTGCATATTAGCCTTTTATTATATAGGCTATGGTTTTGTGCTAAAACATAGACCCTAAGAGGAATGAAATGTATTAAAACGGGTCTTTGTCACCATTGCCCATAGTTGGGAGGTTGTCTAGAAAGCAAAAGTTATCACAACAAAAATATTTTTCAAGCCAGCAGTAGACATCCCTCTCACAGTCTGGGGCTCTCGCAGTCCAGGACCCCTTGCTCCTTACAACCCGCCTGCAGTGGAGGCGGAATAGGCTCCTGCCACCGCACCTGCGCTCGCCAGCCGTGAGCCGGCTGAGCGGCACTCCCCCTGTGGGAGTGCACTGACCACCAGGGGGCAGCTCCTGCATTGAGCGCCTGCCCCCTGGTGGTCAGGGCGCATGATAGCAACCGATCATTCTGCCATTTGGTTGATTTGCATATTAGCCTTTTATTATATAGGCTATGGTTTTGTGCTAAAACATAGACCCTAAGAGGAATGAAATGTATTAAAACGGGTCTTTGTCACCATTGCCCATAGTTGGGAGGTTGTCTAGAAAGCAAAAGTTATCACAACAAAAATATTTTTCAATGAGTCGACCACGTAGGAATCGGACCCGCTAAAGCACCACTGCCCCCACTCAGGCAATGGCTCCACCCTGCTGGCTTCTGAGTGCCAACATCCACCACAACACAAACCCAGAATAAAGTGGCAACTCTGCAACATGGCCGATTTCCCAAAGGTGAAGAGGGTCACAAAGTCAAAGAGTTTGGAAAGGCCACGACTGAGTGTCAGAGAGTCATCATGAACAACAACACAAGGGGGGCCTTGAGAGCCTGGAACATCAAAGAAGGAAAAAACGATCTTGGGAAACTGGCGATGCCTCAAGTAAGTCTGTAAAAATTATGCTCTCACAGAAATCAAGCATGACATGACGAATGCTGTATTATGCTCTTACATCATTTAAAAGCAAAAAAAAAAAAGACAAAAATATCAACCCTTAATTAACTGGATACTCAATCAAGAATTAGCATCTAATAGCAATTACAGCCAAATTCCTATTGCATGTCAAAAAAGATAAATCTATGTTCATAATTTGCAATGTCATTTTTCAAGCCCAATCAAAACCTTCCCCCCCCACCCCACCCCCACTATTGACAGTAAAACTTTGGTCCCTGTTTTAAGTGATGTTTTTTATGGAACTAGTTGTTTTCATATAGTCAAAACCTCTTTTATTTCATGCCATTCAGCTCAGTTAGTGTATAAAAGGTTGCATACCAAAAGGTCAATGGTGGTGATCACTAGATGATAGAATTTTGGGTGTGGGTGTGTTCTTTTTTGCTTAAATATAACTTTTCTTGTTCTACAATGAACAATAACTATTAACGTTTTTTAAAAGTTACGTATATATTTTTAAGAGCATTGTGGTGGTGGTTACCAGTCACACCCCCGCCCTTCTCCTTTGCTAACAGAATTTTATTTCATTCTGGTTTTCAGGTTAAATGTGTTCCCTCAGCTCCAGGAGAGAACTAGGAATAGTCCAACGCAATAAAAAAACATCCTGGTCTCCTTTGCCACTGATTGGTTTAGAGGTTGATATGTGACCAAGTTTTAGCTAATGGGATACAAGGGAAGGCCTGCTGAGGAGATTCTGGGACAAGTTTTCCTCCCTGATAAATAAGAGACATAGGAAAAGAGCTTAACCCTCCACTTCTTTCATGATTCGGATATTATCACATGAGGATGTGATGTCTGGAGCTATGGCTGCCAGCTTGTGACCATGAGAAAGAAGCCAAGAAAATGCCAAAGAAGTTCGTTTTTGAGCTGCTGAATTAACAAACTCTGAAATCATCAACCTTCCGGCTTCTTATGTGAGATAATAAATTCCCATCATTTAAGCCACTTTAATTGGTTTTGCTATGTTTCCTGAAACCAAAAGCACCCCAAATGATACACTGTAATTTTGTGATGTTCAGCTTCCCACAGAGGTGTGTGAACCACCATTTTATACTTTTACATAAAAGGGAGACCACAAAGGATTTTTTAAAACAGAGTTTGGCTCAGTGGATAGAGTGTTAGCCTGTGGACTGAAGGGTCACAGGTTTGATTCTGGTCAAAGACATATGCCTGGTTGTGGGTTTGATCTTCAGTAGGGGAAGTGCAGGAGGCAGCTGATCAATGATTCTCTCTCATTATCGATGTTTCTCTCTCCCTCTCACTCTTTCCATGTCCTCTCTGAAATCAATAAAAACATTTTTTGAAAGTGCCCAATTTTTTTTTTAAAAAAAGTCATATACTTAATACTTTACAACCTGAGACTGAATCTCCTCAACCCTCCCTGCCAGGTCCCATCAGCTGGCCGTTGGAGGTAATGGC